ATGTCGAGATGGACGAGGCGGAGCCAGTGGAGGAGGGCTGTCCAGGTGCGGTGAGCGAGAGTCCGGGGAAAGGGTGTGCGACGTTGTTGGGGAGGCGTAGCACGGTAGGCGGGTGGTGAGGGACGAGGAGGAGGAGGAGGAGGGGGAGGAGGAGGAGGAGGAGGAGGAGGAGGAGGAAGAGGAGGGTAGCTGTTGTTGAATGGTGTTGCATTTTGTGGAGGTTCTCGGTATGGAAGGTCGTATGCATGGGAGACGCGAGATGCTGGGTAGCCGTCCCTTGGACCGTCGAGTGAGTTGGTTGCGGGTCCGCGCTCCGGGCTTGGGTTCGTCATGTGGCCGCTCGTGACGCTGTCTAGAAGGTCGAGAGGAGGCATTGCTCTGGTTAGTGGGTGCTGTGGTGTGATCCTGATTCAATACAAATACTAGCAATGTTTCTGTGTCTGAGATATCTTGTATGGAATATTTTGTTGACGATGAGAGTACAGAAGAGGAGTTGGAAGCTGGACAAATGAGCTTTCCAAGCTGGAGAATGGAAGCGAGCGCAAAGGCTCTTTCCTCATCAAGTCGGACTGTCAAGAGAGGATCCTAACCACAATGGTTCGATCGCTACTTCCGTCGGTGAAGACGTGCTTCCATTAATCCACTGGCGGTAAGGTATTTTAGAGTGGAGCGATACGGAAGGATGCTCGATTATCCAATGGAATGCATGATTAAGATCGCTATGGAATTACGTACAAGGAAGTAAACAATTGTGTTGACAAGATTTTTTTTTTCCACTTGAAACAGGAGCTATTTGGGAAGTGCCAATAGGCCAAATGCACCACCAACTACAGGACGAGCAGTGAATGTGAGATTAGGAATGAGTCCATAACTATTAAACATTGTCAGCATTTAGACCATCGAAACAACAGAAGACGACTCACTCTCCGCCGGTTGCGTTATACAGATCAGTAAAAGCCCTATTAGTCGGCGTCTCGTTGATCCAATTAGCAATATCGCTGAAAATCATCTGCGATGTATTCGTTGAGGCGATTGCAGCCACAAGCATCTCCCAATCAACTATCAGTCGCAGTTAGCGGAGTAGATTTACGTGGGAAATCTGACCAACCTTTCGTGTAGTCATGTCGTGTGTCCAGCGGCACACCGTACTCTTCCTCCACGGTGGGGTAAAAAGCGCTCTGCATATCGTAGACGGATTGAGGAACGAGGTTCAGACCGAGCTCCCTGTCGCCAAAGAGGTTGTACAGCAACCCTTTAGGCAGCTTTAGCTTATGCATTGGTCGACTTAAATATTAGGATCCTGCATACCATGTGTATCATTCATCCCATAAGCAAGGGTCGTGTGCGGAGGATCTGCATCATGGGCGATACCTAGAACCTGCCATTGCGTGATATAATCATGTGCTATTGATGTGTAATTCGCTCCCGTGATTGTGTTGCCAGTCAAGTTCGCAATCACAGCCATGGCTTCAATACCTATGATGCCCTTGAGCGCCAGATTTGTTTGGTTCCTTTGGAAACATCAAGTCAGTATCAGTCGTATATTTCATGTGAAATGGAGAAACGTACGCAAGTGCTCCAGCAAAGTCGTCCGTTGAGATCTGATCGGCCGGAATTAAGGCTTCCTCGATGAGATACTGAGTCCACTGGTCAAGTATAGGATAATGCTGGCTAAGATATGCGGTATCGTTGGCCCTCTGAGCGTACGCCAGAGTCATGATGAGCATGTTCCCGCACTCCTCCAGTGGTTGCTTCTCGTCATTTCCAGCAACATGACCAGTTGCGTTAGGATAGCTGGAACCAAGGTCGTGCATTGAATACATATTAGGATATTGACCAGCCTCTTGGTTGATGAAAAGCGGATCCAAGAGATACTTGAGTAGTGTCGGATTGGTGTAGATCAAAATGGGATGAAAGGGGTAGCAGACATCTTGATGATTTCCCAGTCAGCATCACTCTTTCGGGAGGAGTACTGAGTCGCGAGACATGTGTAACGACCCATAAGACAGCATGAATGAGGAAGAATTGCCTACCAACTGTCTGCACATTCCCGTCTGAACTGATCTCCTTGAGGAAAAGATATGGTGCAGCTGTCGTTCCGCACAACTGAGTCCCACCAAAGGCTTGCCGGGCTGTGAGTGAAGCAATCGTCACAAAGTCAGCACCGCCGGCAGCCATCCCATCATCTGAGACTTGGTTATCAAAGGTAGTTGCCAGGCCAGAGGCAGTAGCAAAATCAGTGTGGAAAAAGGCCAGCTAACGTAAAGTTCAGTGCTAATTCGTCATGAATAGACAACTTGACTTACCGCATCGAGCTCAGTTGAAAAGTAGCTTGTCCACAAGGATGGCACGCTCACGTTACCGCTCGCTCCATCGAACTGAATTGCCTGCTCCTGGGTCAAGCCAAGAGAGAAGATAGTGCTAACAGTGGTTGCACCAACGGTGCCCAGATCCACTGCGAACGCGAAGGTGGGATAATCATCATTGATTGCACGAAAATTGGTATCGTTTGTGTTTGCAAGAGCGCCTGAAGTGGTGAAGGCTGAGCGAACGTCAATATCCGCGCCCGACTGAAAAGTCAAGCCTTCGACATTGTCTGTTGCCCAATACCAATTGCCGTAATCCGTCTGATCATCGGTCTCGGACCAAAGTAGTTGTGTTTGTCTGTAAATTTTATGGTAGGCGATGCCCCCTGTCGCCGTAGCCTTCGTCGAAGTGGTCACGTTGGTGTACTCCCTGCGGTCCAACAACGGTGCAAATGAATCGAAGAAATTACGTTTTCTTGTTGTAGAGCTGTCATTTGACGTAACGCCATACTCCCACTCAGCAATAGCCGTTCTGTCGCCAGAGACCCATTCTATCAAGCAGCATGGTCAGCAAAGCGAGCACCAAAAACGGGTGAGCCTAAAGGCCTACCGGCTGTGATGTCCGTGTACAGCTGTACATCATGGGTAGCTCCGTCAGTGGCAGTCACTGAGACATCAACGTAGGAGAATATTAATGACTGCCGCATCAGATCTGTGGGAGTGATGGATGAGAGGAACGTAACGTTCATCTCTACGACGCCGGCAACGTCCATGACGAAACTACTCCTTGTCGAGGTGTACTCAAAAGAGGTCTGATTCACAACTGTGGGTAATGGCGCTGGGGCGCCCATCCACGTATAGGATATATTGTCGACACGTATCAGTCCCGTCCATCCCAGTATTTGGCCTCTGCACAGAGTGTTAGTAGCAGGCTCAGTCCTAAGACTAGGCTTACGCACGCCCAAAATGTTGGCCACTCCCTGCAAATTTCGGAATCAGCAGAAATTCTTTGAGGAGGAAATATGGATTATAAGACAACTCCAGACGGCTAAGTGAGAGTTTCAACACGATGATAGGCCTTGCAGCTCAATTTGCGGTATCAAGTGGGAAGAGATTCCTCCGAAAACTGCGCCTACCCTGCAAGATAACCACCATTGCCAGGACCTCCCATTTCGACATCACTCCCCGCTTGCTGCCAGCAGTTGACATAGGGAGATTTCACTGCTAAAGGAATGGCTGGAGGACGAGCAGGTGAGAAGGTTGATGCGGCATAGGAGACACAGACGAGCGCCGCAAAGGGCAGGGCATAACAATGAGAGAACATGATTCCCAAAGGAAGGAGTCTGTGAGGGCTGGAGGCTGAGATTGAAGGTGGACATCACGCTTCTTATAGCACTCTTGCTGAAAAGACCTGGTGATGCCAACACGCGCCATTTTCAAGCTTCTACAAATGACTGTGAAGCTCCGGTATTAGCTGAGCTCAATCTCCGCTGTCAGGCTCGTGGCACCAGCGAAATCAGAGCAGAATGCGGTCGTTCAGGGGAGCAAGAATTCTTGGCCTCTAAGTATCGAAACAATTTTCAAGAGTAACCGCTTCCCCATATCTACCCCGGATTTGAAGGCATAGATTGGTCCAAGTGGCCATGCTGCACGACATATCAGGGAACGTATTGCAACTAGTCCTTATGACGTGTTCCCGCATTTGGGATCATCCAAGGCCGGTGCATCCCTAGGGCAATCTAGGTGCTTTGGTACATGCTCCGTTGGCCCCCTTGTACGAGTCTAGTGGCGAGAAGATTTCTCTTCGGCGGCTGATATCTTTGCTGGTAGGCTGGTATGATTGGCTACGATTCATATAGCAGTAGTCATCCCTCCAAGGTAGCACGCACCACATCTGATCCATGTGAGAGGGACCATGAGGTTTTCCATCCCTGTTTGCTTTTAGCTTTGCCATCATGGGCAGCTCCAAATTCAAAATCTGGGGTCCCGAGACATAAAGTATGCTATTTCTCGCGGTCAACCTGGAGCGGCTAAAGGGCTCGCGGTTAGCGCTGTGCCTTTCACCTTCCTATTTGGGCGTAGTAGTCTGGAGCAGCAGACCTTGCGCATGATCTGGGGTCCCCGCATTTCGACTCCCCAGATTATCTTGTCTTGCCACAGAAAGTGGTAACGACTCCTGATGCATTCTGCCAAATGCACATGCAAGGGGCACATAGCTGCAGACGAATCCGCGGCTTAGGTTGGGAAGAGCCTCCACACATCCGCCTTCTTGTCTCTCGCTTGAAATATCTCGAGACCTTAAAGACCTAGACGCTGTAAACCTGGTCCTAATCTCAGTTGTTGCAATTTGCGGATTGGACCCCCTGTTAATTGTGTAAGATTCTCCTGCATACCCGGGCCCGAAGCCGCTCCAGCAAGCAAATATAGAAAAACCAGACCAAATCGATGATCTGCCGAAGAAGTGGAATGGTTATAGTACTGGAATCATGCCGTTGTTCCCCACCTTTTGCTGGTTCCTCCTTTCGCATTTTGGCGTGCGTCCATGCAAGTCGAGAAGGTCCATCAGACTGCAGTCCAGATAGGGAGTACAGGTTAAAGCGGGGAACTGTTACCAGTTGAGACTGCAAGACACAGATACACACATAAGTAAACCGAACTTGGTAAAGTGTGATAAGATTGGTCTTCGTATTGTCGCTAGCCTGATAGACCTGCACCCCACTGCACTTTCAATTTATCGTATTTTCTTCTGTCGCCAACACTGGGCCTGATCTTCTGTCGTGCAGTCATGAAGTCTTCTAACTTGATATCGTCATTACGCTTGATGGCCGCATACCCGGCCCTGCGCAGTAGACTCTCCAAGTCCGCACCGCTGAAGCCTTCACATGCTCGGGCAACATCCGCGATTGCATCGGTGAATGGTATCGAGAGATTGCGGCTCAGGGTCTGTAGGATCTCGACTCTTTCCGCCTCTTCAGGTAGGTCAACGAAGAGCAAAGTCTCGAGTCTGCCAGGCCGAAGCATTGCAGGATCTATGATGTCTGGGCGGTTGGTTGCAGCAATTACATAGATTCCCTGTCGACTGCTCAGGCCGTCGAGCTCGGTAAGCAGTGTATTGACTACTCTTGCGGACGATTCCGAAAGGCTGTCATCACGTTTGGGCACCAGCGCGTCTAATTCGTCGAAGAAAATAACGCAAGGTATGCTTGACCTGGCTCGTACAAACACTTGGCGTACCGCTCTCTCTGATTCACCCACATACTTGTTGAGAAGTTCGGGCCCTTTGACGCTGATGAAGTTGGCTCTTGACTCGTTCGCCACAGCCTTGGCAAGCAATGTCTTCCCACAACCGGGCGGACCCCATAAAAGAACCCCTGTAGGCGCCGTAATGCCCACCCGCTCGTATTTTTCGGGACTCCTGATTGGCTCAACAATTGCAGTAAGAAGTTCTTCACGAACGGGCCGCAAGGCTCCAATGTCTGCCCAAGTAGTACCAGGGATTGTAGCAAATCCTTCGCGTTTAGATGAAGGTTGTATCTTGGGCAATGCAGTCAAGAAGTCACCAGTTGTGATCAAAATAGCGGCCCTTTCTGGGCCGGGAGGCTCCTTTGCCCGTTTTATTAGTCGCCGCAGTTCTAAGACCGTCTCCGAGACTGGGGCATCACCAGTGTCAACATCCATGTCACTACTCTCTATCTCGAGCGTGTCTAAGAATCTTTTTATAGCTGCCGAGCCCGCCGTAGAGACCAGGTCGCTGAGATCAGCACCCACAAATCCAGGCGTAAGTTTGGCTAGATGGCGGAAATCGAAGTCATCGGACAAAGCCATCTGCCTGGTCAATGCTCGTAGAATTTGCCCACGAACTGCTTCACTCGGTACTCCAAGATTGATCTCTTTATCGAATCGACCGCCTCGCCTTAAAGCAGGATCGAGCGAATCGGGTCTATTAGTAGCGGCAAGAATGATCACTGCCTTTCCACCCGTCTGCTCCAAGGCCAACTGGTCCATACATGTGAGAAGTTGAGCAACAATGCGTTTCTCCATTTCGCGCTGCGCATTTTCTCTTTTAGGAGTAATTGAGTCTATTTCGTCCAAGAAGACGAGACAAGGTGCCATCTTCTTCGCCTCTTCAAAGTGGTCTCGTAATGCTTTCTCCGACTCCCCAGACATACCAGACACCAATGAAGGAGCAGACAGTGAGATGAAAGGTACGCCAAGCTCCGCAGCGAGAGCATTTGCAATCATGGTTTTTCCACATCCAGGAGGTCCATGGAGAAGAATACCGCGAGGTGGTTGTATCTTTGAGTTCATGTAGATATCAGGCCTGAATAAAGGTAGGACGATTAAATCCTTCAGATCTTGGATGACAGTGTCGACTCCTCCGAGGTCTGCCAGGCTGACATGCGTTGGTGGTGAGCGGTCAACCTCTGAAGCTGCTTTTCGCCGCTTCATCATGGGTTCGCCGTTCATTTGACGCTTCTTCGACACTGGTGCTATGGACTGGGCTGCCTGCTCCTCAGTGGAAAGTGTCTGGCTTCCATTCATTTTCGAAGCATCTTTCGACCACGAACCCACGATTCTCTTGTTCATACCATTTGCAATCAATACATCCGTTTTCTGTATGTCAGGAAAGTCGCCCTCAATGGACCCAATCTCATCTTCGCTCTCCGCTTCTTGTTTCAATACGTCGAGCACCCTGCCTATGCTATCCTCCAACAACTTTTTGCTTTTCCTATTTAGACTTGAATTCGACCTCTTGATCTTGTCGTAGACATCGGAGATAGACGATTTCGTTTGCTGGTCATACTGTGCGTCTTCGTCGGCGAGCTTCCGAACAATTTGATAGACCTGGCCAGTGAGCAAATTTCCTGTTGGCTTGCTCGGTAATGCATACCTCTTTGTCTAGGCCCTGGCCCAAAGTTACCCTTCCATGAAAGGTGCGTGAAGGCATTGCGCCTCGAAGTTTGGAAAGCAGCTTCTCGAGTGTGCGAGAAGACTGACGGCGAGGGAAAATGTTCGGCCCCTTATCGATAAGGACTGCGCTAGTATCTGTCTGTAATTCACAACTTCCGAGGCATCTGACCTTGAACCCGGTATACTACGTCCTATTTGTAGCTGGAAACGAGACCATGTCGCTATGGGGAACACTCCAAGCTCGCACAAGATATCGGCACAGGACAGGTCCTCTCAAAGAGCCTTTTATTCCCCAATATCTACTAACAAATGACGTAGGGCAATCCTTGACATGAAGAACCAGCGCGACAAGCTACACCAATACCAGCAGCGCGTAACCCTGATTACAGACCGCGAGACAGCAGTCGCGCGAGAATGTCTGGCCCGTGGAGACAAGCCTAAAGCGCTCCTGGCATTGCGGCGCAAGAAGTTCCAAGAAACCCTTCTCGCCAAAACCGACGCCCAGCTTGAGACACTTGAACAGTTGACCAGCAATGTCGAGTTTACCTTGGTCCAGAAGGACGTGGTCTACGGCCTACAACAGGGTACAAACGTTCTCAAACAAATACATGCCGAAATGGGCGGCATTGAGAATGTGGAGAAGTTGATGGGGGAGAGTGAAGATGCGAAGGCGTATCAAAAAGAGATTAGTGAGATGCTGGGAGGCCAAATGTCAAATCAGGACGAGGACGAAGTAGAGGACGAGTTGGAGACTTTGGAGGGAGAGATCAACGGGATTAAAGAGCCGAATGCTATCAAGTATCCAGCAGCACCTCAGAATGAGCCTGTGTTTGCTGGTGAATTGGAAGAGGTGGGACAGCAGAAGGCGAGAGCAAGGGCGAGAGCACAGGAGAGGGCGGCGGCGCAGGCTGCGGAGCCGATGCTGGCATAGTGCTCATACGGGAAGGTCCGGGATTATGCGAACGGCATAGCGAATGGCGTTGGTTATGCTCAGCCGGTATATATTTGGCTTCTTGGAATTCTCATCCACACTTGGTGCACTTTCGATTGCAAATGTATAGATGTTGTCATCACTATCAAATACATCTTGCTCCTTTACACAGCACCGGGGTGCTAACGCTCCTGGAATTTATTCCGTGAAGCAGCAATTGCAGAGCATGCTATAACCTCTACTCCATCCAGTAGGCGTCCACCTACATCCCATGTCTCCCCCCACTCATAGCACCCCTCTCTCCAATCCCCGCTACCAATTCATGATCCTTCGGATTCGCCGCCTTCTCATATAGCACTTCGAACGGCTCCCTGTTCAACTCCGTAAACTCTCCCTTGAATCCGATCCAATACACTCTCGTAACATCATCCCCATAGTTATCCTCCAGGAACAACGTCAAGTTGTACGTGTTCCCAAACTTCGCCCGCTTGACCTGCAGATCTTGGATATCACTGGTCTGTGAGACGGTGAGTGTCTGCGTGGGCTCGAGATCAGAGGCGGTGGAGAAGTCGAGGTCGTCTCTGTTGTGGTAGACTTTGAGGGTCTTGGGACAGCAGTCGGAAGTTGAGGCACGAACGAGGATGGCGTGGAGCTTTAGGACGCCGGCGAAGCTGTGCACAAGTCGTTAGAGTGTTATAGGTCTGAGGAAGCATATCAGTTACATACGGCACAAACATGAGCAACTGCTCGTCTGCATCACTCTCGAGCTCTGGATCAGCCTCCAGCCGCTGCTGCCATGTTTTTTTGACAACCTTCGCGCCTGCATCGGGCTCACGCTCGTTGAGAGTTCTTATGTTGTCAAAGTCGATTTGCTTCCATATCAGGGTCTGGAGAGCTGGTTCTGTCTCGTCACTGTGGTCGTGACCGTGATCATGACCGTGGCCTTCGTGGTCGTGACCCGAATGATCGTGCCCTTGATGGTGAGGCATGTTTGGTCATGGTGGAGGTGCTGGCTACATTTTCTAGAGAAGGAAGTAAGGAAGCGGGGATACATTCACTTAGCAAGTGCGGCTTTGATTGGTCAACTTCTTCAATTCAGATCACTCCTTGCTATGTATTGTCTATTATACAATAATCGTATGTCGCCATGGAGATCCTCTAGTGCTTCGTCTCAAAGCCACTCACCAGACCAGACCGTTCTCAATGTTCCGTGATTTCATAATACGTGGACAACGAGCCATCAAGCAACCAGCCCTTCTCGATCTTTGTGACATCTCGAATAAAGGTCTTGCTCCCAGTCTCGAGGATCTCGTGGAAGATGACCCAATCCGCCTTCCTATTCTATTTGTCGTTAGCAAGACTTTCAAAAATCTGAGAGCGAAAGTAGACTTACAAACATGAGAGAGCTTGGATGAGCGTGCAAAGTCACGCTCCCATTGACTGTCTTGAAGACCCCATCAGGCTGCATCCTGGCGGCGTGAGCAAAATATCCAGCTGCTAGACACTTTCTGATCTGTTTTCCTTTATCAGACACTTCGTCAGCCTTCTTACTCGTGGCAAGTGTTTCATCAACGTCTATTCCAAACCGCTCTAGATGCCGCTTTAGCTGAGTTCGAACACTGACGGCGCGTGTCATAGATTTGTAATTAAGACAATTGTCCCGACACCATTTCGAATCCTTCCTGCCTTTAGTCACAAAAGCTTGATATACGTTGAGTAACGTAAGGTGATCTCCTTCCTCGACGGCGAATTTGCGACGAGCAGATTCCGTTGCCTTCTTCTCTCCATCGTGATGAAACCACACGGCTCCTTGCAAACTAGTCATTGCCGCAATAGACAAAATCTCACTCATACAGCCCATAGTAGATGCTGACAAGAGGACCTTAGCCATCATTGGTTCAACCGAAAGTTCGGCCATGCGTACGCCCAAGGGCCGAGTGAGCTTTGCGTAGTCATCCACCGCTCCCAACGAGTACAACAGCTCCAGCGCACGGATGATCAATTCTGCTGGTGGAGGGGTGAGAAAATCAAAGCGAAGAACATTGTCGATGCCAAGTGCTTTCAATTGGAGAATGATTGGTGCAAGATTTGATCTCTGGATTTCAGGCACGGTGGCTTCCGGTAGACTCTGGTAAGCCAGCTGCGTATACAACCTGTAGCATTTCCCCGCTTTCGTCCGCCCTGCTCGTCCAGCACGCTGCGTGGCCGATGCCTTGGAAACCGGCGTGGCTGTCAAAGTTTCAATCCCAGTCTTAGGATTAAAGGCACGCAGCTTAACAAAGCCACAATCAATGACATAGACAATGCCATCAATGGTCACTGAAGCCTCCGCAATGTTCGTTGAGACGATGACTTTGCGGGTATTCTCTGGAGCAGGCTCGAATACGTAGAGCTGTTGCTCGCTCGTTAGCCCAGCATATAGAGGCAGCGAGAGGACAGATTGAGCCCGAGGGTGTAGAGACGCTGCTCGGTCTGCAATTAGCTGAAGAGCCGTGTCAATCTCTTCTCGACCTGTCAGGAAAATGAGTATGTCGCCATCCGATTCACTGGCGTGTATATCGAATACGGTCTTCACTGCCCTTTCGACGTAGTTTTCGGCCGGCTCCTCAAGATACATCGTGTCCACTGGATACATGCGTCCTTCTAGGCTGATGATCCGACCTACAGAGTGCTCGTCTGCATCACCGTTCTGTTCGGGTTGTTCTCCAGAGAAGAAACGAAGAAAGTCTTCTGCTTGCAATGTTGCGCTACTGATAATTATACGGAGATCTGACCTCCTTTTGCTAATCTTCTTCAGTACGCCGAGGAGTATATCAGTGCTTAGCGAGCGCTCATGAGCTTCGTCGACCATGACAATTGAGTATCTCGATAAGAGAGGATCTGCAAGTGCTTCTCGAAGAAGAAGACCATCGGTCAAGAACTTGATGCGAGTTTTGGCACTGGTCAAGTCCTCGAATCTAATGGAGTAGCCGACTTCTTCCCCTAAATTGCATCCAACCTCCTCTGCGACCCGAGTGGCCACGGTAGTAGCAGCGACTCTCCGGGGCTGATATGTCATCAGTAATCAATAAACCTGACAATCAATACAGGGCTTTCCAACTCACCTACCTGCGTGACCGCAACAACTTTGCCTGCTTCGCACCATCCTGCCTGTTCGAGAAACTGTGGGATCTGTGTTGTCTTTCCACTTCCTTAACCAACAATTCCGGGTCAGCATTGCTTCTCTAAGCCAAGTACAAAACCCTTTTGCTCCCCGTGATGTGACTCAAGTCCTGGATCCAAACAAGAAAGATAATACGGAATGTACGAACCTGTTTGACCAACAACTATGATTACTGGAAAAGTTTCAACTAGATATAGTAGACTCTGACGATGACGTGCAATAGGAAGGAGAGAGGACGGCTTGTTGAGAGAAGGGACAAAAGAAGTCGATAGATCAAAGTCCGCCATCTGTCCGCATGTCAAGGTTACCCCAGCTATCTGATGGAGCTTCAAAAACAAGGTAGTGAATGATGAACCAATCGTCAAAAAGTCATGTCTTGGCAGAAAAAAAAGACGCCAGTGAAGACTACCAGGTTTAAGGTACCTAAACTTTACTTTAAAGCATTGTACCCCCGAGCCCCCAGCCCCCCACACACTCGGAACCCGCGCGGCCGTAACCGCTTTACCCCTGATTGCATAATCCTTGAGAAAGAAAGAAAATTTCCCTCAGTTCAATGGCAAAAATTTCAATTTTTCTGTATAGGTTCAAAACCACAGTTTATTATAATCTAGAAAGTTATTAAAATTTAATAAATATAATATAGATTAGATTATAAAGTTTTTAAAAGATATAAATATTTTATTTTATTATAAAATAGAATAATAGCGAATTTTATAAAATGCTCTTAATAGCTTTAGAATAACCGAGGTAATTTAATACGATATTGGAGAAGATGCAGCTATTCACTACTATTCTTGGTGGTATATGTGGGAATTCTCAGCGCCAAGCATTCCGGACCTTTGTGCATACGCTAGTCAATCTGAGCTCACCCGAGATTGCCGCTTTTAGCGCACTCAACCATCAAGCACGATGCCAATTAGAAATTTGGCTCACAGAACTGAACCAACCAATAGCTCGCTGGTTGCCGATGACTCCGGCGGAAGCGAAACTTCATTGAACGAGCTGCAAAAAGGGTCCCGTTGCTTTGTGCCCGACAGCAAAGCGTGCTTCATCGAACTTACACCACCGGCACGGAAAGCGCAAGGCTGGAAGTCGACGGATTGGCTGATGCGGATGAGTGATGGCGCGATCCGCTGCGTTCGAAGCTCGCTATCTCTCTCAAGACATGAAACCTCCGTTTCACCATACAGCAATTGGCTTCTTCGCGCTCAGCACCGTCACGGCGACTTGGTGACTACGGCTTAGCCGATGAACGAGTGACATCCATCAGTGGGGCCAAGCAGGCTCGACATCGCCCAATATCCGGATCACCTTCTCCGAAGCCCACACAGCAACAGCCAGCCGGCTCCCCCGCCCCCCGTCGTTTCCGAAGACAGTCAGTATCTGGCTAAGCGGCGCTCCTCGACTGTCGCGTCACCCGTCGGCCCTCGCCGCAGTCGTGGCCCGCCCGTGGAAGGGGCGGAAAAGGACAGCCGCGCTCCGAGCCTCAGGCGTAGCTACTCGGTCAAGTGGCAGGGTTACAGTCATGAGCATAACGAGCGGGTGGACGAGGCAAATATACACGAGGCACTTGCTGAAGAATTTGAACGGCCGCGATCGGGTACACTGCCGGCGGTGCCATGACCAGCTTGGGAGTTTCTGCATTCTGTCTTTATATCACATTTCATATTCTCCAGTCAACCTTTCACGGGCTCCCTGTGGTGCGTGCCCTCGCTTTACACAAGGTGAGGTGTCTTGTAAGCCCTACTATCTGGTTCGGAGCAGGGCATGATAGCTGTCTTACACTTGCTGCAAGGAAGGTCTCTTCTTGTTTCCAAGACGGTATTGGGATAGACTACCTCAAGCTTTGCCGTCCAAATTTGCGGAATAAGTAGAGTGAGCGAGTCAAAAGCCGAGCTTACGTCCGTCTTAACTCCATATATCCATCGTGAATCCCTGAAGAGTTGATCCTGATCGCTCACCATTGCGCTGGCTTTATCAGCGCCGTGTCATTTCATCTATGAATTAAATACTTCTCGCTTTACAGTCCCGTCTCTCACCAACTCGATCATCCCTCGTCCCTCCACCTCCCACTCAATCCAACTCACCAAACAAAAACGAACACCATGCATACCGGTTACCACGCCCTCATCGGCGCCGCGGCCGACATCCCCACCAACCCCTCTAAACCCATCATCTCCTTCAGCCCCGTCGTCCTCCCCGCCCCCGGCCGTCCCGTCGACCTCCAGCTGCGCGTAACGGTGCCCTCGACCGGGGACGCCCTGCCGATCATCCTCCTCTCGCACGGCCAGGGGCGCAGCAACTCGCTCTCGTCGCTGGAGGGGTACGCGCCCCTGTACGAGTTCTGGGCCGCGCACGGCTTCGCGGTGCTGCAGCCGACGCACCTGAGCTCGGCGTTCCTGGGGCTCGAGGCGCCCGAGGGCCAGGAACTGTTCTGGCAAGAGCGAGCCGCGGACATGGTGCGGATCCTCGACCACCTCAACAGCGTCGAGGCGGCCGTGCCGGGGCTCCGGGGCCGCCTCGACAAGCGGCGGGTGGCGGTCGCGGGCCACTCGGCGGGCGGGTGGACCGCCGCCATGCTCCTGGGTGCCAGCAACACGGACCCGCGCGACGGGTCCACGTGGTACGAGCCCGAGACGCGCATCAAGGCGGGCGTCGTCCTCGCCGGCATCGGAAACGGCGGCGCGGATATCTCGGCCTTCGGGAAGAGACTCGTCCCCTTCTATGGCGCGAGCTTCGGCAACATGGCCACGCCCGCGCTCGTGGTGTACGGTGACGAGGACGTCAGCCCCCATTTGACGATCCGCGGCGCCGACTGGCATGCCGACCCGTACGCGCTTGCTCCGGGGCCGAAAGATCTGCTTACGCTCAAGGGCGCCAGACATAGCCTTGGGGGTATCAGTGGGTGGGACGCGCGCGAGACGTTGGATGAGAGTCCGGAGCGGTTGGCGGTAGTGCAAAGGATGACGTGGGCGTATTTAAGGAGTCAGCTCTATGAGGGAGATGGGGCTTGGGCAGAGGCATGTAAGGCGTTGGAGGGGCTTGAGGGGCAGGGGAAAGTCGAGAGGAAAAAGTGAGCGAAGTTTTCGCTTTCTATTGTTAGCAATGTCGGTCCTCGACTCATCTGAGGAGTTTTCAGGAACGGTAGCATCTAGGCTTTTGCAAACACACTTCGTGAGTCCACGGGGACAAAGCAGTCGGGCTGGCGTATATCACTATCGTCTATGGTGTCTATAACCATGAAATCATTATGACCCGGTTGCAACGGTTTCTGAGAGCAACCCTTGGCCACCTACAATCAGCGTTAGTCACGCGATGTAAAGCAGCACTCACACTAGCCTTGGTCGGGGAAAACGCATTACTCTACTAAAGTACCTTATAACCTTGGCGGTAAAACTTTAGCAAATCCCACTGCAAGATATCGAGGCATTCAGCAGCTCATCAACTCAACTTTACAGCCAGAATTAGTGCGGGCGAGAAAGAGATTTGTGAGATGGTTACGACAGCTTTTGTGTTTGATTGACCGATACTCTCTATGATAAATCCACCTTTTCGATACCTGAACAAGCCTTCAATCTCTGGCTTTCCCGAGGGTCTAGAGCTCTGAATGTCTGACGTTCGATTTCCAGCTCTTAAAGCTTCTCAGCCACTTCCTCACCGTTCTGATCTCCCACAGATGCGCCTGCTCGATGAACTGGGGCTCCGCGGCGAGATCAAGAATGCCGTAGCTATCCCAGTGATGGCCCGCGCCGGCAATCAAATACTCAGGATGAAGGTCTGTAGAATAGCGCGCTGGGGCGTCATTCGAGTGATAGCAGACGTCGAGCCAGACGTCGATGTTGCCGTCAATGAAGGCTAGACGATCCGCAGAGAAATTGAAACCTCCGTAATGATTGTAGTAATTCAAATTGGGCGTGCTGGGTATGGAATTGAACTTCCCCTTGGGAAAAGCCCATTCACACCATTGCTGGGTGTAGTTGACCTGAAGGACGCGGGAGATCAATGAAGGTCCAGTTGCGGGAGCGACCTGATAGGCGCCCTGTTCGGTGCAGGTGCTGTAAAGGTAGCTGCGCGCTGCTGAATTGGTTGTATCGGCATAGAAAGTTTGATTCTGGGTGCCAAAGCAAGACGTGCTGTCGATCGGGACACCGTCACAGAGTGGGAGGAGTGTTTGTTTCACGTATTGGGCGTAGTTACCAAGATTGCTCCAAGCTTCGCCATTACTGTATTTACTGAGCACGGTGTCGACCGCTGTGATGTTTTCAGGGGCGTCCAGATTGGTGACATTGGAGCAGAAATGGAAGAAATCCTGGGAACCATATGTCGAGTTCCAATTGAGCTCTTGCCATGTGTTGGTCGGATAGTTCATTGGCCCACCGATTGGGAAAGCAATTGTCATCGCGAAGTCTCGGTTGTCTATCAACGCCTCAAGGCCGAAAATTGCCTTGAATGCTTCAATCCCTTCAGTGTTGTTTGCAGCAACTAGTGCATCGAACTTGTCGACGATGTTGTTGATACTTGTGACACAGTCTTGGGGAGCGAACTTCTGGATTGGAGCGTACCACTCAGGATAAGCGAGCACCGCATGGATTACGGCGCTACTAGCAATGCCGCCGTATAGCAAGCCTCCGTATTGCTTGACAGAGAATGCAGTCTGAGCTCCTGCCAGACTTCCTCCGTACAACACCCATGGTGAAATTGGTGCCGATATATTGCCTTTGATGCCAGGGAAGGTTGCATGAGTGGCGAAGTATGCATTGTCCGCAATTGTTTGCTCGGTAGTCAAGTAGGCTAGTTGGTCTGTAGTCGAAGTGTTGTAAGGAAACGATTCTCCATAGTATCTATTCTCTAGGATGACGCCCAATCCATTCGTTGCATTCATCAAAATTTGGATGATCCCGGTCTCCAAATTCGAGAACCTGCTCGGCCCACTCGTTTCACCTCCTATATACAGATATACTGGACCGCCAGGTTTATAGTACGTCGAGTCGAAATAATATCGCTGAGAGAAGGTCGCATTTGTGTGCGGGGCATAACGTGGGTTATTTGGGAAATGGTCAATGGGCATATCAATGGTATGCGCTGGGTACTGCGAGGCATCCTGTCTACGCTCAAGCGATAGCTCCATATGTTTAGAAGCCAGTAGCTGTCGTGGGGGCATTGCACAAGTCAAGGACAAGGCCCCGAGGCCAGCTAATAATATTGGGAGCATCATTGGGCAAGTAGTAAGGAACAGCAAGATCAAAGCATCTATAACGTAAAGAAGGTCAATCTATATATGAATGGAAATGAAAAGAGGGAGACACGAGAGATTTATGAAGGCAGGAAAGCCGCAGAGAATGCGTAGGTGACGCCAAGGAGCGTTGAATCCACATACTGTCGGAGAACATGAACCGCCAGAGCTGATAGGTCAAGGTGGGGTAGGTGTGACAAGCTTAGATGGGTTTTCTTCTTCACCTACCTAACTTGGAAGATTACCCGAGATGGCATATCCTAGCGTGAGGGGCCAGCCTGAAGCCTTTGACAACTTCTTGTTCTAGAGCATCAGGCTGAGATGGGGGGGCGTACGCATTTACATAGGATCATCGCGGTACATTTCGTATGTATAACCCCCACTCACCCTGACCGTGGCCGCTTTAGCGAATATTCCAGCTGAGCTTCACCTTGAGGCCTGCAGTACTGGTGGTACTGTACTCTTTTACCTCACGATACCTTATCCTACCATACTCTCCTACCCTACGATATTCTTATATCCCACGATATTCTCTTACTCCGCGATAATCGCCTACCCTACGATACTCCCAAATTTGTCGACTGGCCAATAGTATCGTTGGTAATAAATTTCCCGATCGTCCGTGATGAAGTCGAGGTACCCTCCAGATTGCCTTTAGTGCCGGTCAATTATCACAGGCTGCCCATGTTTCACCTCTTGCAGTCGTTGAGCAGTGATCAACTGACCCTGTAGGGCTTTGATATCCTCGTCAATGAAACCGAGCAACAGATCCTCTACCTTCTTCGGTCCACCAAGCCTTTTGACCCAAGCACAGTACATTGTTTGCCATGATTCTGTTCCATGGCCAGGCCCAAGATGATCGAGAAGATGGCTGAGGACGCATCTCAACCCTGGGAAGGCGTGGGACGTATCCCCAAGACTCTGATACTGATCAGCTTGGCAATTGAGCTCCTGCAAAATGGAAGCAGACGTTGTGGGAGCGAGTGTCGGCTTCGGCGTATTTGCTTTTGGAGAATCGTCAGAACTAAAGCGTGCAGGCTTGGTGTGGTTCGGCTTTTGTCGCATTGCTCTAGAGGATTGTTTGGGGCGTTCTTGAGTATGACAATGGTCGCAAAACAATTTTGGTCACTTGTCTATCGAATGCCCCGACTTCTTACTGTAAGTGCAGTTTACTTTGCAATCTGGGTTCGGGCAGCGCTTCTCATAATCGTTGCGAGCGCCACAGGCGTGGCTTACGAAGTCGTGTACCATTATGAGGAGGCCTAGCCAAATAGGTTGTTAATTATGAGAGTGTATAATGTTTTCATGATGATGCGTGCAAATAGCGGTTGTCGTACGCGTATTTTGGCACTCAAAAAATCTCTTTCCTGTAAGTCTCTGCAACGATAGTAGATGGAGCAAGCAGACAGGTATACGCTTGCAGGCCTACATCAGCCTGACTTAGTTTGCTGGTTGCAGGGACTGACTCAATAGGATGAGACTGGGGTACATTTCGTATGGTTTTGCACCACAAGCCATGAATGTAATGTATACTTAGTAAATATTCTGAATATCTTAAATATCTTTAATATTACTACTTTTTACTTAATAGCGACGTTAATATTATATATACGAGGTATATATATACGAAGTATATATATACGAAGTATATACGCGTTATAGCGACGTTATAGCTATATATAAATAGTATATTTATCGAATTACGATATTAATATTAAACGTACTAGCCTACGAGAAAAGAGGGAGAATCTTAAGACTTTATATTATATATAAAGTTCTTAATATAACTATAAGAAGTAATTCTCTCTATATTCTCTATATTAAAATATTTATAGATAAAGCTTAAGCTATTAATTATAATAACGATATCAAATTTTAGATACTTACTTTAGCCGAAGCTAGCATTATAGCTAAAATTATTACTACTATTACCAAGATCTCCCGCTTTATTATTAATCATCTATAGAAATAAGCCTATAATAGAGGATTTAATTCTAGTAAGTCTTAGAAATTACTATTATCATATATAAGTATATATCATATATAGATGAAAAGAAGATATAATATAATAGAGAATATCTTCGCTAAGGCCCGCTAGCTATAGAGCTAAGAGGTATATTAAGAATACGCTTATAATACTATTTCTCTCCTTCGTTAAATTATATTCTATAATTAATAAGTAGAAAGATAGAAAAATAAATATATATACACGCTTAACGTCTGAAAAAATGATAAAAGTAGTAAAGAAATAATCGTATCTAAGAATTCTAGTATCGTATCTTTCTTTATAAGAGGTATTAAGAACGATAGTAGCTCTTTATATTTACGCTATAGCGACGTCGCTAGCTAAGATATAAACGTATATAAGAAGCCTAGTCGAGAGGAAATCGATATAGTATAGCGTAAACCATATTTATAGGCGTAGGTGTAAATAATAGTAATTTTCGAATTCGTATTTAAGCGAATAAGATATCGGTGAAATAATACGACGTAATTAATTAAGGGCTCTCGAATCGAATCGAGTCGTAAGCGCTAAAAACTCTAATTTAATATTAAATAACTTTAATATAGTCTTCTCTATAATATATTATTTAGCTAATATCGATTATATTTCGTAATAGCGATAACGTAGTTTATATATATACTAATATAGCTTCGAAAGATCTTTAGAGTTATATTAGTAAGGGGGGCTTACGCGAAAGACTATATATAAGATAATTCTTTATTAATATAGATCTAAGAAATCGATTCTCGAGTTTAGAAAAAATAAGGCTTTTATAAAGATATCGAACGATTTTAATTCGACTAAAAACGGGGTATCCTCTATTATTCTATAAGTTAACCCTTTATAGATAAGACTCTTCGAAATATCGTTTATAAAAGTCGTTTATTAGATCTTAGCAATTTTCGAATTTACCGCCGTTCGTATTATATTAGACGAGATTATTATCGAGATCTTTCTACTTAACTTTATACTTAAGACGACTATAGATTAATTTAAAGTTAAGTATTTCTTTAATAATCTATTCGATTTAATCGTTAATAGTAATATATTTCGACGAAGAATTTATCTATTTTAATAATAGGTTATTTACTATAAGACTTAAGAGATTAAGATAAAAGACGTCGTGAATTCTTATACTTAGCGAAAGTTTTAAACGATATAAGATTTTAATAAGACCTATAATCTTAAATAGATCGAGTCTCTTATAGTCTAATTTATAAGAAGAGCGATTAAAGATAATATTCTTACTATTTAGAAAGATCGTATCGCCTATTTAAAAAGTAATCTTTTATTAATACTTATTAATTTATATAACTATAGCCTTCTAAACGCGATTTATATTACTTCGAATATACTTAAGAACTTATTTTATATAATTTGTAATATTCTTCGTCTAAGTAGTATTAAGACGCTTATATATAATCTTATAGTCGATAATATTTAAGCTAAAAGTTATTCGAGAATAAAATCTCTTATTTATAAGAAAAGATAGAATATCGATAGTCGATAAGATAGTATTATTATCGACGAACTCGATAATAGATAGCTATCTTATTTAATTATTCTATATATAATTATAGTATATTTAAAGATAACGCTTTATATTCTAATTCGCTTATTTAATCTATTTATCGATTTTAGAATAAAAGGCTATTAATAGCTTAACTATAATATCTAGTCTCTTATAAAAAGACTTTTATATAATAGCTATAAATTAAGAGCCTTAATTCGATATTATTAAGATCGATAGATTATATAGATAAAATACTTTCTTAAGTAGTAAGTTAACTATCTTCTTAGCGATAATATCTTTATTAATATCGAAATAGACTACGTAGTAATATTTCTTAATAAATTAATTAATCGCTATTTAAATAGCGTTATAGTTATTAAATATAGATAAGCCTATAACGAAGTCGATCGATATATCTTATTATCGCTTCTATAAAATTAATAGAGACTATAATAAACTATACTTTCGATCGCGAGACGCCTTAATTCTCTAATAGATATAGTAATTCTAAACGTAGATAGCTATAATAGTTCTTATATCTCGCTAATAATATTTTCTTTTAAATAGCTTATAAGTATATACTATCTCGAGATATTCGTAGAATAATTAATCGTATATCTCTCGAATAATATCGATATATATATTATCGAATATCTATAAACGATTCTAATAATAAAGTACCTCGTCTTATATAAAGTATTTACTAAGAGTAATCTCTTAAAACTTATCTTTATCTTCGATAATAATATTACGAATTTCTATATAATACTTATCTTTCTTATTAGCCTCTACTATCTTATAATAAATAGAGTTATTAATTATATATATATCGATATATTCGCTATTTAATTTTAATCGATTAGAGATAAGAATTATTTAATACTATTAACGTAATCGTTTATTCTCGAAATCGATTAATTTATATCTAGCTATTCGTATAAGTATATTCGCCTTAACGTTCTAAGATCTTAATCGATAAATAATCTTTATATTAAATTCTAATAATATATTTAAATATCGAGCCTAACGACGACTAAGGTCTCTTTCTTTGACGAAAGTATATTAAGTTCTTATAATTCGTAAAGATCTTAATAGAGATATTGATATATTTTAGTTTAGAACGCTAGTATTTAAGATAGCGAATAATAGTTAGTAACTTCTTATCGTAGATCTAATAGTTATACTTGACTAAAGTAAGATTTTTATTATAGAAGACTATCGGGTAGAGTACTTTCTTATTATTATATTAGAAAAAAATACCTTCGTTAACGTAGTCGAAAGAGTTAGTCTCTAGAATGACCTTCTTTATTCTATCGAAATAACGTAGAACTAAAGCTTTAATAACGACGACTTTAAGAAAGTAGAAGGCCTCTTAATATACTGGGAACTAATTAAATATAGTCTCTTTTATCGTAAGTTTTATTATAAATTTAACTATTTTAGAGAAGTCTCTAATAAATCGTTAATAAAAATTATAAAATTCGATAAAGGCCTATATCTCTTTAAGGTTAATAGATATAGTTTACTCGATAATAGTCTGAATTTTAATAGAGTTTATTTATAACCCGTCTATAGATATTAATAAGTCTAGAAATTTAATTTTCTAAACGTAGAATTCGCACTTAAGAATATTTATCTAAAGATCGATATCTCTTAATTTCTAGAGGATTTATCTAACGTATTAAATGTATTTCTTTTTTATCTTATTATAAATAAGTATATTATCGAGATAGATCTAATAGAAGTCGTTTAGATACTTAAATAGAATATTATTTATATATTATTAATATATAGTTAAGCCGTTAATTAGATCGAAGAGAGAGAACTCTAATACTTATATACTTTAAGAAAGATAATAAAAGTAGTAAAATTCTCGCTCTCAAAGTATATATGTAGTTTATTAAACGCGGCTATAATATTTAATCGAGTAAGATATTTATATCTCTAAATTCTTATTAAAATCTTATCTATTAATAAAATTAAATATCGATTTCTTTTAATAATAGCGTTTAGCTTTCGATAGTTTATATAAAAACGTAATTCTTTATTCGACTTTTCCGCGAATAGAATAGATAAGGCGAATAGTATATAGCTTAATATTATAAATCCCTTCTTTAAATATTCATTTAGGTACTTCTTTATCTATTTTAGTTTATATTCTAATATTAAATAGATTCTACTTTTCGAAAGTTTCGTTTTATCGAAGCTATCGTTAAATTTTAGCTTATAATTATAAGAATAATATAAGGAAAGTATATTCGTCTTAGTTCTATCGAAAATATCGAGATAGTCGTAATACTTCGTAGATAGCTTATATTTTACCTTCTTAAAAGTAACCTCTTTAACGATATTAATCTAAATAGAGTAATTAAAATTATAATATCTTTTATATTTCTTTTCTAAGTTATAGAAATAGAGTTTATTAATCGATATATAGAAATCGCGAGATATTTGAGAATAAGAAGATATATATAATATTAGACGAGTTATTATAGATCTTATTTATTATTAATATAAATAGTTTATTATCTTTTTTACGGGCTAGTT